ATGTGAAATGTAATGTTGCTCTAAAAACTTGACAAAATTTTTAACAGACATGAGTTTGTGTGTGTGTGTTTAGTTTGAGTATTGTTATTTACTGCAATATTCAACAATATATATATTTTTTTAGAACATAAAATATGAAAATGAGTTTAGTTTTAGGTGAGTTAGTTCTAGTGAATTCTGTGTATAATAAATATAAATTATAAAAATACTGTAAATCAGTGTTTCTCAACCTTTCTGGTACTCTGTATCCCCTCCCATATCAATATTTCTTATACTTCGGACCCCTCCCAAATATTGTCATACATTCTGATTAAATAGAATATAGACTCAATCTTTCTTATACTTTGGACCCCCTTCCAAATATTGTTTTATATTTTGATTAAATAGAATATAGACTAATGAAAATATAGATAGAAGGTATATTTTTGTCTAAAAGTCGAAGTGAAAAATACCATTAAAAAGCTTAAAACTTGCAGTAATGGAGAATCAGAACAATTAAAAAGTATAATCTACGCAACTTGTGGATTCTTGATTGAGAAACACTGCTGTAAATGACATTACCTAATGTTTATATCTGCCAGGGAGTTCATATTGAGTGACTTTGTTATTGTATCTTGTAAAATAATAATAAAATCTTTTATTTAAGTCTGTTGTAACAAAAAGCCGTATATCGTAAATGAAAATAATTATTGATATAGCTTGCCTCTTACCATCAAAACTACATCTCTTTTTGGCAGCATTGCCAAATTGGCATAATGTAAAATTTAATGCTTTGTGTTATACTGTAGTGGTAATATGTGGTTTCTGTTTACAAGTGTTGTATGTTATCATCATCTGTTGGCAAGACTTATTTAAAAAAAGAGTACTTTTATAATCTATATTTATTAGTAGAAATATTATTCTGCATATAATTCTAGTCTTGATCAGTTTTTTCTTTTCTCTCCCCCCCCTCCCCCCCAACTTGTGTGTTAGCTTCAGATTTTGAATACTGAAGATAGGTTACTATAAAATGGCATGTATAATAAATTTTGGAATGTTTCAGTAGGTAACAGATCAATGTCCTTTTTATTATGTAGATACAGTATACTTGTTCCTGAACAACATTAAGAACCATTGTGGTCAAGTGGTTAACGCTCTTTGCTTTGTATTTAAGAGGTCCCATGTTCAGATGCTGGGATAGTACCTTAAATTTTGGCACAACTGATTCCTTTTACATCCTTTCGAATTCATTATTCACTGTCATCCTCTCATTTGACACTGTATAGTCTGAGCTGCTGAAAGAGCATAATTAAATAAACTATAAATAAATAAACATTAAAATCTTTATGATATGTGACATAGTTTGATCACAAATGAATGTGGCATCTGGTCTTTAGGTATGCCATGATTTAATAAAATCATAATTTGAACTTTCATTACAAATTAAATATTCAGAAAAATGTTTTAAATACGTTTCTCATCCATGGAAGTTAAATGTAAGTAAATATCACATAACTACCACAAGTTTCTGTTTATTGGTAAGGTATGTCAAAAACTAAATTGTAAAGAATGCTGTCTATTTTTAAAATTTGTTAAGTAACTAATAGCCTGTTCATTGTGTTACGGTGATGTGAAGTTGAGTTTTATTGTAATTAGAAAATCTTTAGCAACATTGGCTCTCTCACAAAGGATATGTATTTATATTGTAAAAATATTATGTAAATGTTAATAATTGTAGTACCATGTTATTATTAAAAGGTCCTTAATTTTTTCGAGGAAAAGTAATTTGTGTGGATTTTTTGTTTCTTTGGTTCTGTGTTTATAGACGACAACTTTTTATGGCATGTGTTATACAATAATATCATTTTCAGCCTGTATCATATATATATATATATATCTGTGTGTGTGTGTGTGTCATGTAATATCGGACAATGATCGTGGTCTTATGGGTCATGACTCAGTGTGGTCTATGGTATTTGGCATTTACACTTGCATGTAAACACAGGAGGTTATTTTTAAAAAAAATATACAAAGGAATGCTGCTGTAATAACATGGCAAATTTGCACTGAGTTTATGTTTTAAATTGGTTCTCCAGTTATGAATATCAGCCTATATCCGTAGAATTTAAGAAATGCTATACATGTTATTGGTGCATGGCCACAGTTTAATTTGTTATAGGTATAAATTCCCATGCAGTATAACGTGTGTGACCTGTTATTATCAAATAGCTGGCCACTGATGACATTATTTTTATTCTGTTGTATTAAATGTTATCACTTCTAAGGATGGCCCCTTTTCATTCTGTTAATAAAACTCGCAGTTTGGCATTCTTTCAGGTATCCTTGAAAATTACTGTGGTGATTTACTGTCTTCATTTATGATCGTTGGGGTTAGTTATCATGATGCTCCTGATGACATTGCCTTCTCGGTTGGTAGGAAACCATTTTTGAAGAGGTTCCCACCCAGTCAGTAATTTGGCAGTAGTAGAAACTACCATTGCCTGTTCTGTTTTTAGAGAGCTCTGATTATTAGCTGGGAATGTGTGGGTAATTAACCTGCAAAATTCTGTTTCATACATAAAGTGTTGCACATATGCCATGTGCTATAGGTGTGTTCATGGGGCATGTTCTTTAACTGAATTTGTAAGTTTGGTTTTATGGAGCCATTGTTCATTGGCTGCTCAGGTTCTGCTTGGATTTCTTTGCACACGTTTTCATGCCCAAAAAAGGCAATCTTTTCCGTGACTCGCCGAGGGACGATAACCTAAACTTGTGCACAAGATCTGGAATATATGAGAAGTTTGCAAAATTGGTGGTAAAATAGTATTTAAAACTTGTTGAAATTTCAGGTTCTTATAGTGGCAAGTAAGGAGATGACTCTTTTGGGTTGATGTGCTGTGTAGTTTTATTTTATGTACGCGATGTTTCAGAGGTGCTTGCTGCCTCCATCATCAGGTCCCGATTATGAATGTAGCAAGCACCTCTGAAACGTCGATTAATCTTATCCAGACTACAGAGTGTAACGACCCAGAAGACAACTTAAGTAGTTAACCATTTACGGAATGAGCCATCATTATTACTCACCCTGCCATTGGTTTTACTCCTCTTTGATAGATGGCAGAATAATATGGCGCCAAGTTAAAAGTAAAACAGTGTTGACATCTTCAGATCACTCCAGATTGTGCTTATTAGTGAAAACATGGGCGTACGTGTTGTGCGTGATAGATGGTGTATTTTCCTAGCGAATGTGATTAATAATGGCAAGTCATACTACTCATCACTGCACTTGATTTGTGAGTTTTATATCATTATTTTCTTAGGTTATATAATTGTTAAATTTATCCGTGATATTATTAATGAGATCAAAATTCTTATTCTGCCCCAACTCCTTGTGTGCTGTTAGGTTAGATCTGGCTGTCATATTTTAGGCAATGTATGTAAATGATAATGGTCAGGCAATGATCAATGTTTTCAACTGTTCGAATTCAGGAAATGCATAAATGTGAGGTAATATGTTTAACTGTCGTCGGTTTAATATTACAGTTGAAGGGACTATGTGTTTGAATTGTGGATTGCTTCTGTTGATTTCGCAAACATTCTGTACATTTAAGTGTACGCCAGGAAACAGTTCTGATCTTGGCCAGTGAAGTACGGTAGGTTATTTTTGTATACTAACTACTTGTTTTGCTGCCTTACCGAAACTTTAATTTGTGTTTTTTTCGGTTTGTTCGTTCCAGAGATGTTTTGTTTAGATTTGGATTTTTAATATTAGAATGATGAGACATACAGGCTGAACACAAATTGAAAGTTTCCAAGTATCATCATCGTCAGGGATTAGGGACTAATTAAACGGCATGCAAGAAATATCGCCACTGGGAAAGCTAACAATATTTTGTAGCATCCGGTAGAAGTGGTCACTCCAACAATCACCACTAGGAGCGCAGCTGTTGAAAGCATTAAATTTGCTACTCAACCAGAGAGCGAAATGAATTCGCTCAAGTTGTTGTTGTTGTTGTTTGGGTTTTTTTTAAATCCCTCCGAAAACCACTTTAAGATTTTGTAGAATGAAACTCGAATATAATTTCTGCACTTTTCCTTCCCATGTAATCAGGGCTGGACCCTGACATTATGAGACAACAAAATATACATACATTATTCTCATAGAAGAGAACATAAAAAACAAACATGAAACTATTGTGAATGAAAGCATTGTAGTAGCATTGGAAAACAAAGATGACTATACATAGCTACACATTAACATTCATAATGCATTTTTAGGCCCCTCATATGATGAAGTCCTAAGCTGTAGTTTATTTACCTTACATATAAGTCCAGCATAGTCCCCTGGATACTCAATGGGAATGGTGGACACATATTGACGTTCATTCTACCATATTCAATTAAGGGAACATCTATAATGTTTTGGCTTACTTGTTTCACAGAGACCTGAATTTATTTATACTCTAATAAAAGACAAAACTTTTTCAGTTACAAATAACAAGAAGTAAAATTGGCAGAATCATAGAAGAAAGTATTAATTATCCCATGTGATGTAGAATTGAGCTGTTGAATCAAAATGTGAGGTTAAGGAGAACATCTATGACATATTCTGAAATC